TTCAAGCTCGTGTCCCGTTTCCCGTCTGTGCTCAGCCAGCTCCGATTTTGCCGAATGGGACGACAAGACTCTCCAACATCAAAGCGACCACTTGAACACATTCTTTTGTAGCAATCAGATCTGGAGAATGGGTCAACTTTATCTCTAAAAGTGGGCATAATTGAAAAATGCGTCGTCCTTTCCCTGAAAACCATTTAAATTCCCCAATTCCTTGCTAGTTCGCATGTGCTTTTAGAGAGAATGCTCGGTGGAAAGACAAAGCATGGGAAAAGATCTCTCTATCTCTCGTGACATATTCACTGTTATTTATTAATCTAAGGTTATTTGCCACCAAACCAATTATTTTCAAGAAATATTTGTTTGAGACGATCCAGTTGATTATCTCAAAAGTCTCTATCGGCTAGTCTTTTGGTCCGAATAATCATGGATTTAAAAACCACAACCTTTGTTTTGTAACTCTGGTCGGAGAAGAAGGTAAGGATAAGGCCCAGTTTTAGAGAAAAATCCTACCGATTGCCCAGATCGGGTTGTTTCAAAAGAATGTGTTTATGTGGTCGTTTTTATGTTGAAGAGTCTTGTCGTCCCATTCGACAAACAGTGGCTGAGCACAAAAGCGTAGTTGGCTTGCCAAATCGGAATTGGCTGAGCACAAACCGGAAACGGGACACGAGATTGAATGATCTCGAACTTGTCATTTTGCTCATTTTGGCATGTCTGCGGCTAAACTTAACAACCCGATGTGGAGAATAAGTCAAATCTCTCTCTAAAAGTGTGCATGACTGAAGAAAGTGTCGTAGTTTCCCTGAAGACCGTTTTTATTCTGGTCAAGAGGAATCCGTTGCCGGTCGTCTTCTGGTGGAACCGACCTTCGAATCTCTTCACCAAATGCTTTCACTTACAAATGGAAGTAAGCCCAACAGTCAACTTTATCCTCCAAACACTGTCCTGGCGCCAACTTGGCATGTAGTCAAGTTGTTTAGCAGTTTCCTCCTCCTTTCGCTGCCTGGCAATCTTCCCGCCCTACAGAACACATGCAAGTGGCACGGATGGCGTTACATTTGGCGCTTTTAACTAATTAATATCTCGTCTCTTTTGCCCCTCACGACCCGTTCGACTGGGTCGCGGCTGAGGCCGATGGAATAGGTCGGGAGATGGAGGAATTTGGCCACAAAACGAAATGTCTGCGCGTCTCCTCGCAGAGTTCATGGTCTTTTGTGCGCTACATGTGCCTGTTTGTGCGTATGTATGTGTGTGTATATGTGTGTATGTGTGTTTATGTGTGTTTATGTGTGAAGATGGCAGATGAAGAGGCATAAAGCGTGCATTAAAAGATGTTTAAAGACAGCTGAATTTGGCTTTACCGGAAAGACATTTCTTTTGGTAGGCTTCAGAAGAGACCGTTTGTCCTCCTTCGCACTCTCCCTCCGTCTTCTTCCGTCGTTGAGGGCAACTGAGTCTCGCTGTCCCGGTCTTTCGGTCGGTCTGAGGAGAAATGAAAGCCCACAAAAGACGACACTCGCATTATCCACTTTCTTGTTCCCCTCGTGCCGCTCGCCTCCCCCCGATCGGTCGGAAATGAAGAAATCTGTCCCGTCGAAGACCCCTCATTTGAACTGGACTCCGATTTGGCGAGAAGCCGAGCCCCAGTTGCCCACCCAACACAGTCGTCCGCATCGGTCGCCGAAGCTGTCCTACAAAGTGATGGTTGAGAGTTCTCAAACGATCCGATGACATCAAAGTTTACACTTTTCCTCGTCCCCCAAAAGGCGAGACTATCAGCAAATCTTGACTGCGAGTTCCAGTCAGCCTAGGTGGTACATGAGGATAAAGGCTAGCTGGATAGATGGATGAATAGATAGATTATTGTATAATTCGGCACTCAGTGATCGTGTTGAAAATCTACTTAATTTGAGTATGAGTAGTTCAGTAGAGTGTTGTGGCAAAGTACAAGTTTCACACTATTTCGTTAAAGGTAGTGAATGAGTGATTGTTGAATATTCACACAATTACATCAGAAGGTTGTTAGGGGGACCTGCATTTCGGATGAAAGTGCATGAAGAAGAGATTCATTTTGACGCAGTCCTCGAGACTTGCTACCTCGTTTCGTCTATCATTCGATGGGCATCATCAAAGCTGCATGTCATTCTTGCAAAAGTCAAACGTTGACACTAGGCCAAAAAGACTATCCGGCTTTATCTTACCTCTTATATAGACTCAGTTAGGCAGAAAGAAAATTAAAAATTAAAAATTAAATACCAAAATAGATATAGAGTGGTTTTGCTAATTATCTTTCATACTTGTCCAGCTGCTTTTTCTTGAGTGTGTGCATGTGTGTGTTAGCGTCTATACACAATAGCGATCCTAAATCATTGTTATCGAAAGGTTAAAGTTAGGCTCTGATTATCAACGCCTAATGACCTCAACGAAAGCCCTGACCGAGACTGCGTAAGTAAGTATGGTTGAGATAATGAGATGCGAGCTTGTAAACATGCAAGTCAAGTTACGAAACCACTTGTCCTAACCTCTCAGTCGAGGGTCATTAACGTTTAACCTCCCAAGAAAGGTAATACTGGAGCTGCGTAATCTGGTACTTCTGGTTTTGTTGATGAGCTTAATCTACCATGTTGGACGAATGTGAGTGAAGTTAGAACCATCACTGAACAGAAAAAAATAGTAGCATTATTTTTGATGACGTTTCGACACCCTTTCTCTACTTCAATCTATCAATCAACAAACCGACTAGTTTGAGACCATTTTATTTCATGTCGAATGATAAACGAAATGAGGGAGGAAGTCCCGTGGACTGCGTCAAAATGAATATCGTATAAAATACAAACGAGATTCATCCGTCCTCATCTGGTGAGATGGACCAACAAATCTCTTCTTCAGGCACTTTCATTCGAAATGAAGGTCCCACTAACAATGTTATCTCAGGAGATCCATCGAAACCAACTTTCTGTTTGTATCTACATCAGAAGACTTCGTGATTCCGGGCAATTTCGCATAGCCATGTTTCTCAAAAGGTAGAGCAGTGATGGACGGCAGTTCCGACCCTGCTTCATTCGCATCGGCATCAGCAGCATGCCCAAAGAGACTCGAACTAGGCTCGTTTGGGTCGTGGCTACGTCACAACGCCCTTACACACAACGTGAAGTGCCAGCTGGTCAGTCACAGTGCAGATGTAACATTCAAGCTAAGCCAAACCTCACTCAAATCACACTTTTC